TACTGAGTATAGAACTGAGTCAAGTTTATAAAAATAAGAACCGTTCCTCAATTAATAAATGGTCAAAGGATATAAACAGGCAGTTTTCAGAGGAAGAAATCAAAGCTATTTAAAATCATATGAAAAAATGCTCTAAATAACTATTGATTGAGGTAGCTAGGTGGTGCAGTGGATAGAGTGCTGGGGCTGAAGTCAGAAAAACTCATCTTCCTGAGTTCAAATGTGACCTTAGACTCTTCCTAGCTGTGTGACCCTGAGTTAGTCACTTAACCCTGTTTGCCTCAGTTCCTCATCTATAAAATGAGCTAGAGAAGTCCAGTATCTTTGCCAGTAAAACCCCAGATGAAGTCACAGAGTTGGACATGACTGAAAATGACTGAAGAACAATACTATTGATTAGAGAAAGGCAAATGAAAACAACTCTGAAGAACCACCTAATACCAATGCTGGAGGGGGTGAGGGAGAATAGGGACACTAATGAATTGTCGGTTTAATAGTGAACAAGTCCAACCATTCTGAAGAACAATTTGGAACTAGGCCCAAAGGGCTGTAAAACTACATACCCATTGACCCAACAATACTACTACTAGGTCTATATCCCAGAGTGATAAAAGAAAAAGGAAAAGGATCTATGTGTAAAAAATTATGTCAGCTCCTTTTGTGGTGGCAAAGAATTGGAAATTGATGTATTACTCATCAATTGGGGAAGGGCTGAACAAGTTGTGGCATTATGATTGTGATAGAGTACTATTGTGCTGTGGGAAATAACGAGGGGAGTGGTTTCAGAAAAACATGGCAAGACCTTTATGAACTGATGCAAAGTTTCTGAAATGAGAAGAATTTGGAGATCATTGTGCACAGTAACAGCAATGTTGTAATGATGATCAGCTGTGAAAGACTTGCCTACTCTGATCATTAATTCAAGACAGTTCCAAAGGACTTCTGATGAAAAAATACTGTCTACTTCCAGAGAGAGAATGGATGAACTCTGAGTGCACATTGAGCTATAATTTTCTCACTTTCTTCACTTTTTTTGCTTTTTTTGAAATATAGCTAATATATAAATGCAATTTCACATGTGTAATTGATATATTGCTTGCCTTCTCAGTGGGTGGAGGAGGGGATGGGAGGGAGGGAGGAAGAGAATTTCAAACTCAAGATTTAAAAAGATAAGAATGTTAAACATAAGTAGATAAAAATAAATGCATTAATTTCAGTAGGGAAAAAGGTCAGGGTGGGGGAGGTTAAAAGAGAGAGAGTAGAATTGGGGAGGGCAGAGTCTGACGCAAAGCAAATTTTGCCTTTAGAGGATAGATCACACAGGGGAACAAAGAGGTGAATAAGTCGTGGTATATGAATATAGTAGAATATTATTTTACCTTAAGAAGTGATGAAAGTGATGGATACAGAGAAACCCAGAAAGACTTGTATGATCTGATTCAGAATGATATGTGTAGAACCAAAATTTCCACCCAGAATTCTGTTCTAGATGTTTTCATTCTTCTCTCACTACCCCTTCCCTCTTTACCATATGGATGGGGATAGGGGTAGCTATTGAACCTTCAATTTCATTGGTGTAGAGAACTCCCAGGTGAGGAAATTCCCTCCATCAATATGAGTTGGCACCTTCTCTGCAATTTGTAATCGCTGTGCTACTACTACTACTACTCTCTTCTATTTACCTGTGTACATATCTGTAAATATCAAGATGTATATCTTGTATGTACATGGTTGTTTGCATGTTGTCTCCCCCATTAGATAGGGAACTCCTCAAGGCCTGTCTTTTGCCTTTCTTTGTATTCCCAGTTTTAGGCACGTAATATGTGCTTAATAAATACTGACTATTAAATAATAATGAATGACTAAATAAATAGTAAATGACTACTAGCTATGTGATCTTGGGCAAGGCACTTGACACCTCTCCGGGTCTGTTTTGTGCTCCATTGTCCTTGGGTCCTTTTTACCACTGCATCCATGAGCCTGTGACACCTGAGGATTTGACTTTGCCTTCTCAAGCCACTGAGCAGTGGCAGAAGCAACCCTTGGAAAGCTAACGTAATTCCTGATATGTGGAATTCAGTTCTCTGTACGATGTTTTTTCCTTTTTGTCTCTCCCATTAGACTGTGAACTCTTGGAGAGTGGGGACTGTTTTTGTTGTTGTTCTTCTCTTTCTTTGTATCTTCAGTGCCTGACACATAGCAGGTGCTTAATAAATATTTGCTGACTTGTCTACAGATTTGGATCAGAGACCCTATTTTACTGCTAACGAAATCCATGAGTAGGCTTGGTAAGGTGAGATAAAATGAGCTCTCCACATACTGCTGTTAAAGACCTAAGTATAATGACTTAGAAGGACTAGAGCTACAAGTCCGAGGATCTGGGATTGCAGGGGACAGCTGATGTCTTAATCAGTGATCATTAAATAATGGAATTTATTTCATTAGGATAAATGGGTTTGAGAGTCAGCGGGTAGAGAAAAAGGAAAAATAATTACTACAAGTATTAAAAATTCACAAGCTTCAAAATTTTTGATTTCTAGAATCATGCCTTTTTGGGGCCCTTTCTAACCACAAGATCCTCCCATACCTTCTTCTTGCCATGGGAGTGATATTTATCAAGTGCTAAGTATATGCCAGGCACTGTGTTAAGCGCTGGAGTTAAAGAGGTCTCTAGTGGACAGGAGACTGGAAAATGAACAATCGATTAGGGAGGTATACTAAAGAGGCTACTCAGGGATGCCATGCTTGCCGATGGGAGCTTGGCGTCTGTGTGAGCACAGGAAGTGGGAAGGACAAAGGGGAGTTGAATGATAGATTGAGGATTCCAGAGGGCACAGTGGAAAGAGTAAGGTAGGGCTGAAGTAGATGGGGAGGAGAGAGGAGTGGAAGCCAGGGGAAGGCTGTTTTTGACCAGGAAGCTCGAATTGCAGTTATTAGGAGAAAATGAGGTAGGAATTTTGCTAGCAGCATTTGACCGGGGGCTCTCATCCTCGTGGGATCTGTGATGAGCTGTTTTCTTGAGTACCAGGCCCAGGCCAGTTAATACTTCATTGTCATGTTCTGAGGGTCCTGACTGACCTCGTATCCATTGTCCATTCTGTTACCTTACCCTCTGTTGGTGGGAGTTAAAATTGAAGACAAAGATGCAGATGAAGTTTCCAGGGGAGGTGGTATGGGGATTAAAGAGGAGGACCAAGTTTAGGTGGGAGGGAGGAAGAGGAAGCTGGAAGGAACTGGCAAGAGAATTGGGAGAGGCTAGATAGAGCATTTATTAAGCACTTACTTAGTGTGCTGGGCTCTGCCCTGAGTACTCACAATACAAAAAGAGGCAGGCAAGACAGTGCCTACCCTCAAGGGGAAAGATAACAAGTGCAGGGGTGCTGGAAAGCGGGGGGTTTATGGGAAAGAAACCTGTTAGGGTGAGGCAAGCCGTGAGAAGGAGCAGGTTGAAGAGAGTCCAAGCAAGAATGAGGTGAAACGGTGGTCACAGGAGGAAGTCACCAGTAAGGGACAGTGGCCCTAGGGCCAGGTTATCTCAGGCGTGGCAGTGTTGCAGGTGAGAAGGAAGAGGAAGAGTCTGGAGAGGGTCCAGAAGCCAAGGAATGGGAGAGAATTTCAGTGCTACCAGGAGAATTAAGGAGGAGGAAACCTTTGTTTTTACAGGCTACAGATAAGGACCCAGTAGATAAGGTGAAAAAAAAAACCATTGGATTTGGCAATTAAGAGATCATTGGAGACAGTAGTTTTAAGTAGAATGAAGACAAAATCAAATTTATACTGACTTGGGGTATGAGTGGGGTGGTAAAGAAATAGAGATTATAAGTGTAGACTTCTCTTTCTCAAAGTTTAGAATTGGAAGACAAAGATAGGCCAATAGCTTGGGGGTACAGTAGGGGCCCTGGAAGGTTTGATGTTTTGAAAAATGGAGGAGAACTAAATGTGTTTACTATTTTCTTCCTCTTTGTTTACCAAGAGGGAGAGATACAGGATTTCAGAGGAGACTAGAGGGGATGGATCAGAGTGAAAGGCATGAGTGAAAGGTGTAGCAATGGCAAGCAGGAAGTAGCCTCACATCAGAAGACTTTATCTTGGGAAAACAGGAATCAGGGTCGTGTGCTCTGAGGACTGTGATCGAAAGTCATTAAGATAGAAAGGATTGTGATTTCACAGGGAGAGTTCAGTTGGATTTAGATGCCATAAATTTGTAGTAGACCATGCAGTTTTCTGACTTCCTCTATCCCTTAAGAGCAGGAATAGAGAATCAGAGTTGGAATGGTGGCCAAAGGGTCAAAGGTAGGATAAAGGAGAGTGTATGTTGAAATGGCTAGTCATCAGGTCAAGACCACAAAGAGCAGAGGGTTGTGAATCTAGAACAGGGAAGGAGGGATAAAGAGACTACGAGTAACAGCGAGGGTAAAGAACAGGTGAAGGAAGAATGTAGGAGGGGGAGAGGTTGTGGTCATAGAATGAAATTTCAGAGTTCAAGATCCTAGAGGTGGAGCAGGTTTTGGTGATTGTGAGGTCTAAGGTGTAAACCTCCCAGTGGATGGCAGAGGCAAGAGTATTTTATTTCTAAATCTTTCAGCATATTCTTGTTGAGTTTGTAAGGATTTTGAAAAACCATTTCCCCCTTTGTTTTAATAGTGTGGGTAGTGTTTTTGAATCCCCAAACGTTTCCATGGTTTTAAATTATTGTGGCTCTGTTCTTTCAAGAAGGAAACTGTGAAACAGATGGGAAAATGGTTAAGCTTCTGTTTTCTTTTATCCAAGAACAGGAGGAATCAGTAAAACTTAACAGTTGGTTATATTAATGGTTTCAAAATTTCATTTAGGACAATCAAGTACAAAATATTGAAATATACAAAAATCTATTTTGGTACACTGATATGCTTGCACGATTTTAGGAGGAAAACAAAACGAATGTATAAAAAACTCTGGAAAATGGTGGTTCCCTTTGGCACTCTGTAGTTAAATCCGTTTTCTCCTGTGTTCCCTGACAGATATGTTTAAAGGGTAAAGTACACATATTTAAATTCTTAAATATTCGAGCATGTTGCAGAATAGGAAAGAAGCCAGACTCCTTGGATCTTCCTTCATTAGGTAAAAGAATTCCATCTCAGCCTCTCACAGACAGGTAAGTTGATATTCATAATGGTTGGACTGTGTGATATTTAGCCTTGAAATATGTGTACGGTTTTCCTAATTTTAAAAATCTGTTATGAACCCAAAGTTCTGATATTTTTGGCGTAGCTAGTTAGACACTTGAAGGAAACGTGAGAACAAGTTAAAAATGGTTTCTTTTCCCATTCTAAAACCTCATGGGAATGGTTTTGTGGTATCCAAAGCCCATTCTGTTACACTTTGTGAAATTGGGCAGTTGGAAGAAGGCCAGTTCGGTTCAGCAAGCATTTATGGAGTGCCTAATACGTGCTGAGTTCTGGGGTTCTTTATGCACACAGAAGGAAAGCAAAGCGTTGCATTGGGGCCTTGGAAAAGGTTTGGTGGGAAGGAGCACAGCACTTCCCCGTTGTAAGCCAGGGGACTATGGGCTTCTCAGAAGTGTGTGTTATTGGGGAAAGTTTTGTTCTGTTTGTTTTAGATGGAGTAGATATAGTTATACATTGAGGAAGAATGCTCTAATTGCTCTTTGAAAAAATTAAATCGTCATATTTTTATAGCATGGAAGATTTCTATCCAAATAAAAACCATGGTCCTGATTCTGGTATTGGAAGCGATAATGGAGAGAAACGATTATCGACAACTGAAGTAAGCCTTGTTTTTTCTTCTGAGAAAATGTTTTATTCTAAAATAGTTCCTACTATTTGAAATAAGCAGATGACAAGAGGCATGCATGTGCTTGGGTTTTTCTTTCATTTCTTTTTAAAAATTTTTATTCATTTTGAATTTAAATACAGAAAGACAAAAAAAAGAACATTTCCATGTACACAGTACAACATAAAAAGAGGATTCAATATAAAACCATGAATTTCTACTTCACATTTTTACCTTTTGAAAAGCTATGTAATAAATACTATACATTGTTCCAAGTTACCTTGCTTTTCTGTGCTTCCTTCTAAGTTTTCTTCTGTTTTCTTTTAGGCACTTTTTATTTTTTTTTCTCCCTCCCTCCCCACCCCACCTTAGAGAAGGCTACCATTAGACACAAACATATATATGTGTGTATATATATATATGTATATATATAGTGTGTGTGTATATATATGTGTGTGTATATATATGTATATATATATATAAAAACCGTATTATACATATTTATATTAATCAGTTCTTTTTCTGGAGGTGGATAGCATCTTCCTTCATAGGTCCTTTGTAGTTGATTTGAGTATTTATAATACTCAAAATTACTTAGTTCAGTTGTTTTTTTTTTTGTTTTTGTTTTTGTTTTTTTGCTTTTTGGTGAGGCAGTGGGGTTAAGTGACTTGCCCAGGGTCACACAGCTAGTCAGTCTGAAGTGTCTGAGGCCAGATTTGAACCCAGGTCCTCTTGACTCCAAGGCCAGAGCTCTATCCACTGCGCCACCTAGCTGCCCTTGTTCAGTTGTTCTTAAAACAATATTGTTGTTACTGTGTACAATGTTCTCTTGGTTCTGCTCATTTCACTCATTATTTCATGCAACTCTTCATTATTTCATGCAACTCTTTCCATGTTTTTCTAAATCAACCAGCTCGTCATTTCTTATAGCATAGTAGTATTCCATTACAGTCATATACCACAACTTGTCTAGCTATTCCTCAGTTGATGAGCATCTCCTCAATTTCCAGTTCTTTGCCACCACAAAGAGAGCTGCTCTAAATATTTTAGAACATATAGGTTGTTTTCTTTTTTCCCTGATCACCTTGGGAAACACACCTAATAGTGGCATTGCTGGGTCAAAGGGAATAAACAGTTTTATAGCTCTTTGGGCATAATTCCAGATTGCTCCCCAAAATGGTTGGATCAGTTCACAGTTTCACCAGCAGTGAATTAGTGTCTCATTTTTTCCACATTCCCTCCAATATTTGTCATTTTCCCCTTCTGTAATTTTAGTTAATCTGATGGGTGTAAGATGATATCTCAAAGTTGTTTTAATTTGCATTTCTGTAATCAACAGTGATCTTTTTATATGACTATAGTTTTGATTTCTTCATTGAAAAACTGCCTGTTCATACCCTTTGACTATTTATCGATTGGGGAATGACTCGTACTCTAATACATTTGACAAAGTTCTTTATATATTTGAAATATGAGACCTTTATCTGAGAAACTGTTTATAAAAATTTTCTCCCAATTTCCTGTTTTCCTTCTAATCTTGGCTATATTTGTTTTATTTGTACCAAACGTTTTTTATTTAATGTAATCAAATGATCCATTTTATACCTCACCATGTTCTCTAACCCTTGTTTATTCATAAATTGTTCTCCTGTTTATAAGTCTGATAGGTAATATGTTCCATGTTCTTCTAGTTTTCTTATGATATCTTCTTTTATATCTAGGTCATGTGTCCATTTTGACCTTATCTTGGTAAATGGTATAAGATATTGGTGTATGCCCAGTTTCTGCCAGACTACTTTCCAGCTTTCCTAACAAACTTTTACCACATAATGAATTCTTGTCCCAAAAACTTCAATCTTTACATTTGTCAAACACAAGTTTACTGTAATCATTTGCTGCTGTGTGTTGTATGTCTACTAGGTTCCACTGATCTACCTTTCTATTTCTTAGCCAGTACCAGATAATTTTGGTAATTACTGCCTTTATGGTATAGTTTGAGATCCGAGTGCTGCAAAACCTCCTTCCTTTACGTTTTTTCATTAATTCTTTTGATATTCTTGATCTTTTTTGTTCTTCTGAATGAATTTTTTCTAGCTCAGTAAAATCATTTTTTTTGGTAATTTAATTATGGCATTGAATAAATGGATTAGTTTAGGTAAAATTGCCATTTTTATTATATTGGCTCTGCCCAACCATGAATCATTTTATTTTTTATAAAAAGATATCAGTACTAATTTGATACAGGATTTCAAGAGGAGAAAAACATTTACAATTTCGAAAGTAGGCCATTACACTTTTAATAGTTGTACTCTGTATTAGAAGCTAGATGCAAAGAATATTCTAAAATTTGTTTTGTCAGTAATCATGCAACTTAACTAAAATTTGTTGCAACTTAATTCTTAATTCTTGTGTTTGTTCACAATGTTCTATCCTCTTATTCCTTACAGCCATCTGATGATGACACAATCAGCCTCCACTCTCAAGTATCCGAATCGACCAGAGACCAGACTCTGAGAAATGACAATCACTTGATGGGGAGCAAACTTGATTCTCATAAAGGTAGTTCATTGATGGGGTAGTTCTTATTTTTGTTTTGGGTACCTACTCCTCCTTAGAATTGATCTGGGCTCAAAAACCAGGTTTAAATGTAATGCCTGTACTTCATAATATGATGATATGTTTAATCAGCTGCATCTCCTAGGACATAAAGCAGAATGGTATCAGAGGCTGTGGTTTAATATTCTTATTTTCTAATACGTGTAAACCCGTACTAGACCAGGAGGTGTATGATTACATTGACCCCAACCCAGAGGATGTAGCAGTTCCTGAGCAAGGAGATGCGCATATTGGATCGTTTGTCTCTTTTCTGAAGGTAGAGAAATCTTTTTTTGCCCTCCTGTGAATGAATTTTTCCTTTTATCTCACAAATGGACTGAATATTTCAGTTTGGCCTGACAACAAATATAACAATTATATATTTTTTCTTATTTAAGGGAAGAGAAAAATATTCTGAGAAATCTCAGAAAAACGAAGAATGGGGAGATGAGAAAAGGTAAGCACGTGATATTTGTATAATCCCAAAAGGTTGTATGTTAAATATTTGTTAGAGAGTCTAATCGAATATTTATTTAAAAGAATTTAGGTGTAATTATTTGCTCTGTACTTCATTCACGTGCTCTATTTAGATTAAACTTGTCGGATTTTTATCACTTCACAAACTTGTGTGTCACAGTCATATTAGAAATCTCCGAAAGCACAGAATAAGATCGTAGATAGCTAGACAGACAGCAGGGCATTTATTAAGTGCCTGCTATGTGCCAGGCACTGTGCTAAGTGATGAGGATACCAGTAAAAGCAAGCAGGACAATCTGTGCCTTCACGGAGCTTACGTTCCAGTGGAGGCAGACAGCCAGAGCACAGGAGCTGGAAGGAACTTGAGATCTGCCCATGGTGACATGGAGATGAGTGAGAAGGGCAGTGGAGGCTGGGCCTAGGCAAGAAAAGATAAAGCCTTACCCGACTATCAGCCAGCATAGGCAGCATGACCATTTCTTCCTATCTGTATAGAGGCAAGGTGGTGCTCGGCTTGGAGTTTTGAGGGACTGGGGTTTGCATCTCAGCTCTGACACTTACTGACTGTAACCTTGGGCAAATCACTTCATGTCTCTGAGCTCTACTCACTGAGTCCTCAATTTGATGCTTATTGGTGTTGTAAAGAAATTACTCTGTAAGCCTCATGGCGAGGCGCAGTGGAAGTCAGTACCTGGTGCCTCCAGTTCCCTTCCTCATGTTCTCTCTGCAAATCCCTTCCATCTGGCTCTTGCCCACACCCACCTTGCTGTCTTTAAAGTTACCAGTGATCTCGTAATGGCCAGTGTTCTCATTCCTCATCCTTTTGCTCTCTTGGCACTATTTAACACCATTGGCCACTTTCTCCTTTGTAGGTTTTTGTGACTGCTTTCTCCTGATCCTCCTCCTACCTGTCCGACAGCTCCTTCTCAGCCTCCTTTGCTAGGTTTTCATCTGTGTCATACCACTCACTGTGTCACCCAAGGCTCTGCACTGGATCCTCTTCTCTCCTCTCTTTTCTCTTCCTCTCTCTCCCCCCCTCTCTTTCTCTCTCGCTCTCTCTTTCTT